GAGAGAGAGAGAGACACACACACACACACACACACACACACACACACACACACACACACACACACACACACATAGTGAGAGAGAGTGATAGAGGCGGGTGCAAGAGTAAACGATAATAACCTTAACTACGTATAAGGTATGCATCCACATTACAACACTAAGGCTCATTGGAAGATTAGCATGAATACTAAATTACTGATCATGAAGATTGCTCTGGTGTGAATTATTTTCCAAATGAGACAACTATAAAAGAGCTGATTATTAAATCGTAAACAGTCGAAAGACTTAATTACTCGGGGTACTCCTCTTTCATGGAAAACATTATAGACATAGTGCATTGCGCAAGGCGTATACGTATGCGTGTGTGTATGGGTGTGCGCGCGCGTGTGCGTGTGTGGGCGTGCGTGCGTGCGTGTGTGGGCGTACGTGCGCGCGTGTGCTGAGTAAAAGACAATAGCATTGCAATAAGTTATTTTTAGAAAGTTTAGCTATGCAAACAATTATGGAATGTGATGCCAGGAATTATTAAAACTACGCATAATAAGGCAGTAAAATAAATGCAGATCGGATGTAACGGGGCATGTTTTGCCATACTCGATAGTTTTCTGGCATAGGCTCAAAGGTGGACACTTGGTCGCGTGGAATGACAGGCAAGTTGTCAGCAACCACTGCTCAGCGGGTGAGATCGGAGCTGTGTAAACTTATGTTTACTTCTCTTGCGCTGTTTGCGTCGACCTTTTACACAGACGGGTGCAGAAGCTGTAGTTGTAACTGTGTCTCCATGCAGAGCTGACATCTTCGTAAACTAATATGAGAGGTTACGCGATCACGCCTGGAAGCAGGTTTCGCTTGCTCGCGATAGAGTACTCACACAAACGGACGAACGTACGGGCCGGGGTTACGATGATGGTTTGACTGGAGAGGGCTGTTACCGCGTATTCTATGTCGACGTAACTACGAATTAATATAGATATATGATAAGCTGATAGACATGTTATGTGAGTGAGAAGTATACTATACTTTTTGTGTCGACATGATTAGTTTGTAACGCGTTCGTAGTGATGCGCGATATATATATATATATATATATATATTTATTTATTTATATATACGTATAAAGATATAGATAGAGAGATAGATAGATAGATAGCTAGATAGATAGATAAATAGATAGATAGATAGATAGATAGATAGATAGATAGCTAGATAGCTAGCTAGCTAGCTAGATAGATAGATAGATAGATAGATAGATAGATAGATAGATAGATAGATAGATAGATAGATAGATAGATAGATAGATATACGTGGAACACTCGTTTGCGTTACCATTGCGCAGTGGCGACATCTATGATCCACTACGTGTGTAAAACATTAACGAAGTGCAATTAGCAGCTTGGCGGTATTATATCATTTTATAAGACGTTCAAAGAACGATGGTTTTCAATATGGAGATATTATTAACCTGATATGCGATCGTACGCAGAAGTTCAATTCTATAGCGACATTTTTAAGATAGGATAAATAATAATATAGATATTTTAATTCATTTAAATTTACTAAAGGGCATGAAGTAGAAATTTCTAAAACCTACATGGCGATCTAGTGGACATTTAATCACTACATCACTATTTTATAACACATTAAGTTCAATACTCGTATACGGCAATAGACCGATACTAACCTAATATGTTTACATTAGTTCCCGTAAGTAATGCATACAGAGAGAGACATAAAAGGCGTGCGCGCAATATCCGACCCACTCATACTTCCTTTGCGAAATCAAACGTCTGCTTGTGCTAGGCGAATGCATAACCATTTATATACACGGTGTATTATATGATATCTATGACTAAATATGCCTGTAAACGACCACTCCCCGATGTCCGGTGTAGACTAGGCGCCTGTTTCCGCTAACCGACACCTCACAGCGCTGCGCAGGTGCACGTCTATATCACCTCGTCTCTACTCGCTAGTAATAGTGGTTAAAAACGAGCAAGAACCGCCGAAAACAACGCAGACGATGCAGTGCTTACGCTGATGACATATCGCTGCCGAATGTGACGTAGTATCCTCGTGACGGAGCGGACGGTGTCGGCGACATGGCGCGTGGCGACGGCGTCGTGCTTCGTGTGCAGGACGGGACGAGTATGTTCACTTACTACTCCGACTTCACGGACAGATGGCCAGGTATAGCATCGTTACACATCGTCAATCTAACACCTTCCCAGCGTCATCGATAATAAATATCAACGATCAACTGCGCATATCAGTTATGAACCTAATCGAACCTTAATTGGCAATCCTGTAATATCAATTGATCGAAATTATCAGTTCGAGAACATTCGTGAAGGTTGATACGACTGTGAATATATATACTTTATTTATGCTGCTCAAAAACATACAGTATACTGCATGCGAGACATACACACCAATTAAGTTTTTTGTAAGAGCAAGAGCCCAAGAGAAGGACAAGAATCCATTGAAGCCACAGCAGCAGAAAATAATAGCATACTTAATAACATAATATTATTGTCATTTCCGATAGCGTAAAATTAGCATACTATATCCTCTAACTATATAGCTATGCTCTATCGTTGCTTCAATTGCAGCATGTCAATATTAAGTATTCGATTGGTTCTTATGTCGGTGATGCTATTTTAGGTGCTGCATACGTGGAAAGCGTTCTCTTAATAATCATGATGACCACGGCAATTATCGGTAATATCCTGGTGCGTATATCTATCGACCTGTCTATAGAACGCTACACGTAGAATCTTTCATGAATCTGATTCATGAATCTGCATTTTCGCGTGATAGGCGCGCGCACACTCTCCTGTATATAACTACTCTGACAAGACCACTGGTAGGAATAACGGAGTGCGCCGACAGAGCATTCCTGGTTTAAAATAAGGAATGAATAAATGTACGAATAATTAAAGCCGCACAATGCGCATCCAAACGCTAATTTCTCCAGTATTAGACTAGCAAATACGTCGTGTCAGGCATAATCACACTACCTTATGACAAAATAAACTCTAGTTCCTCCCATTTCACTGCGCGTTGTCTTATAAAAGGTATTTGAAAATACCTCCAATGTTGTTCAAATTCTCCGATGTTGTTGACAGTTTCCCCAAGCAACCGTGCAGCGGTGCTGCGGTACAGCGGTACGGGTGTAGCAAAGATAAAATCATGTGACGTCACCTAACCACTTCGAGGCTAAATTGTTTGGCAAAAAATTCGGCGTTGGCGCCAGAATACCAGTTTTCTCACCTCTTTCTTGAGGGTTTTAAGCAAACGCGCAGTGAAATGGGAGGAACTAGAGTTTATTTTGTCATAAGGTAGTGTGATTACGCATGCCACGAAGTGTTTGCTAGTCTAGTACTGGATAAATTAGCGTTTGGATGCGCATTGTGCGGCTTTAAAGAAATACATACATAAATAGATAGATAGGTGAATAAATAAATGGATAAATAAAAAAAATAAAAATAAAAATAAATAAAATAAATACCCAAATAAATAAATACATAAATAAATCTATAGTGTTATCGTTGCAGGTTATCGTGTCTGTGACCAGGTATCGTAAGATGCGCACAGTGACGAACTATTTCGTGCTATCACTGGCCATCTCTGACCTGCTGTTTGCAACCCACGTCCCCATCATCATCATCACACGCATCACCGTAGACTGGGTGATCGGAGATATACCGTGCAAGCTCGTCGACTACATGATGTTCGTATCGGCAATCAACTCGATTCTCACACTAATGGTATTAACCGGGAGATGAGCGTTAAAGTCGATGTTATTCTGTTAAAGCCATTAATAACCGTGTGTCTGTATAACTCTGCGTATACGTACGTAGTAACTCAACGTAAAGTTGTTCCTTGTAACCTTAAATAGCACTAGCCATTTTTCTTTCAGTTATGTAACGCTTATAAAATTGACAAATGAAAGATCGCATTAATTAAGTTTCGCGAGCTCACTTAATGTTATAAAATCAGCTTATTTAGATCTGCTGTGAAGGTCATTCAGATGGTAATGAACATTATATGGGTTTGCGCATACACTCGCACAGCATGCGTATTTATGTAAACACAGCTGTTGCAGAGCAGGGTCGCATGGTAACAGTAATAGCAATTATTTCCTGTGATATATACACACGCAATGTTGGCTCCCTAATATCATCATGTCTAATGAAATTGCCACCTTAGGTTATGTCATAATCCAACCCAAACTGCATGCAGTGCCCCTTCCGACACTCAGGATAATAGAATTGAGCCAGAGCGAGAGCGCCATCTGTCGTGGAGTTTGAATCCAACCCTCACAGACGCATGTGCGCTGGCGTCTGTACGTGTGGTGTGCATCAGCGCATGCGCTGATGTGCTTTATAAATATTTATAACTTGCTTGCGTCTAGAGCAGTGGTTATTAACCTTTTTGGTCCCACGACCCCATCAGACATTCTTGGGTCAGTACCGTGACCCCCGAAACAAAATTTAAAATTAAAAAAATAATTAAAATTAATAATTAATAATTAATAATTAATAATTAATTTTTTAATTTTAAATTTAAATGGATTTGTTTCATTTATGACACCTTCAGTGGCGTAGCCAGGATTTTTTAACAAGGGGAGGGCCAAAAAACAGCGAACTGCGCAAAATAGTGGATGACTTATTATTTTAATGGTTTCTCACACTCCCTCTCCACACCCTACGTTCCCTCACCTCTCAGCTCTGCAATCTTTGTTCCATGAATAAAGGCGACATTTTTGTTCGTTGTTCTCTGCTACCAAGATATATAAAAGGAGCGGGGTGAAAAAGGGGAATATGGGGGTCCTCCCCCAGAAATTTTTTAAAATGTAGATTGCAGGAGATGATATTTGAGGCACTTTTGAGTACATTTCAATCCCCTTCTGACAACAACAATTCTCTTTTTAGTAGAACATTTTTTCTTTTTGTTTACTCTCGGATCAACAGGGGGGGCCATGGCCCCCTTTGCTCCCTACTAACTACGCCACTGGACATCTTCATGACCCCCGGAAAAAAACACCAAACGACCCCCAGGTTAAGAACAGCTGGTCTAGAGCGTCTAGATATAAAACAATTACTTGGACAAAGGATATTTTATCACGATTTTTTACTGAGGTTATCATTAGATTGCCACCGAACACTTCTCTTGTCCTGGAATAGCTTCATACCTGACTGATTGACACCGAACTGTCAAAATCTGTCTGTTTTTTTTTCTGCATGAGCAAAAGTATATGAAATTTCAGAGCCGTAGGGGCTGTAGCTAAGTACAGAAGCTAGAAAGTGGAACCGCATACCTTACTCTACAGCTCGGCCAATAAACACACGTGTTACTGTGAGGTCAACGGGTGAAAACCAACACGGCAACCACTTGCATCAAATCGGAACGCGCGCACTCACGCACGCAGGCACGCAGGCACGCACGCACGCACGCAGGCACGCACGCACGCACGCACGCACGCACGCACGCACGCATGCACGCACGTACGTACGTGTGTATGTATGTATGTATGTATGTATGTATGTATGTATGTATGTATGTATGTATGTATGTATGTATGTATGTATGTATGTATGTATGCATGCATGCATG